GAAAACCAGGAGGAGAAAACTAGGAGACCCATTGGACGAGGGGACGCCCACAAGGAACTGTCATTAGTTTTACCTTGGAGAGGGGTGGAGTCTCTCTGGCTGGGGGGGAGGACCTGAGAGGAGGTGAGGGCGGGGACAGTGGAGGTGGGGTGTCAGGAGGTCTAGCGGGGGAGGTCTCGGGGGAGGCCTCGGTGGAGAAGGGGGACTGCCGGAGGCGGATGGAGAGGTCGTCTGTGAGCCGGGAGGAGCAAGGGGGAGGCCGCAGGGTCCGACCCTTCCCCCTGCGAGGGGGCGGGGTGGGGGAGGACAGGTGCAGCAGGGAGGGGGGAGGAGACGACGACATCATCTCCATCACCTCCATATCCAGGGAGGCATCCAGGTCCAGCACAGGGCTCACCGCCTCCTCCTCCACATCCGATTGGTCCTCCTCCCCCTCCTGCTTCTCACTGGTTGGCTGTCGACCATCTGATGCTGCTTGCTCCGGCGCTGCTATAGGCCGCCGCTCCTCCTCGTCCTCCTCCTCCTCCTCTGAAGGCTCAGTGTGTGATTGGTGTTCCTCTTTGGTGGGTTCTGTTGCCTCGGCAACAGGTTCAGGCAGGCTCTGTGATTGGCTGCCATCGTCCACTGATGTTTTGTCGTCTTGTCCATCATTGGTGGGCTCCTGGTCCTCTGGGGGAGGGGGTGGGGAGGCCTCCAGAGAGCCGGCTCTCTGATGAGGTGGGGAAGGAGGTGATAGGATGGGGGAGGCGGGAGGTGAGGATGAGGGGGAGGGAGGAGCAGGCTGTGGGAGGAGGGGGGGCAGCTGGAGTCCTGCAGAGACACAAACAGGTAAACGAGCCACACGTGACTATGGTAACAGCAACCTTCGGTTTCCTTGGAGATGACAGTTTGGCCTGAATGTAAGACCACTGACACACTCAAACTACCCAAAATGCATCGCTGTCTGTACAGGGCTGCTCCTCCCTCCATTCAAACACCATCCAATGCTCTCATGAACTCCAGATCAATACAGTCTGATACGCAGCTAAACCTCTGAACTCAGCAGGAACCGCTCGTTTTAACTCACTGAGGTTCATGTTCCAACATAAAGTCCTGCAGCTCTGAGGAACCAGAACCACATGAACAACTGGCTCCTCTGGTCTCTGGTTCTGATCCGTGCTGCATCTATTCATTGATCCAGTAGGATGGATTCTCCTTCAGTCTCTCTGAGGAAACTCTGGCTGCAGTTCACCTGAACCTCTGAATGTTTCCTGTTGGTCAGAGCTGAGTCAGAACCAGGAGGAGGAAGGTTCTGGTTCTACAGAATCTGCTGGACATTTTAAAAATGTGTAGAATTTAGTACATTTAATGAAATATCTCATTTTTTCCAGACTGTCACCAGTTCAAGGACCGTCTTAAAGTTGAAAATCCAACTTTTTAAAAAGTTTCTGGCTAATACATTGAGTAATTTTAGCTTTTTTAAAAAGTTAATATACCTTTCAAACCTGCCGGCAGGTTTTGGGCTTCAGAGGGTTAAATGTTTGTGTCTCGACAGGAACAGCAGAGACACGTCTGCGCATTAGCCACTGCTGGAATTCAACACTACAGATTCATATGAGTTACATGAATCACAGATTTCTGAACTAAAATGCAACCAAAAGCTGCTTGTTGTGAAGACAAACAACACTGTTCATCTAAACTGAGTTTTGTCACTGATTACCGAGAATAATTTACAACAAAAAAGCAACAGACAGAGTTTAAACTCATCACTAATCGGTGTAACACATTTTTTGTCTTTTGACACTTGCTGATGTCACTTCTAGCCAGAGGAACCCTGTTGGACAAACGCTGTAAATGTAAATTTTGTCATGAGTGTGAATCATCTTCGCTGTAGCTGACGATGACGACTGTCAGCTGCAGCTCCTAAACTTGTGACACGAGGATGGATCCCTGCTGCTGCTGACAGTAGAGCTGCTGCCTACCTGAAGGAGGACAGCTGGAGCTGCTGAGATGGTCCTCCTCCTCCTGGTCTGGTGGTCCTCCCTCTGGTTGTGTGGTCTGAAGAGGCTCCTCTCCCTCCTCCACCCGCTGCCGAGCTCCTCTCTCCTCCTCCTTGGTCCTCCTCTGCTCCTCCACCGTACTGATGTCTACAGGAACAGCAGTGTTTGTGATTAAACAACGTCTGCAACCTTCAAGGTCACAGCAGCCGTCCCTGCGCTGCACATCGTCAGGAGAAACTTCTCAGATATTCTCTTCTCTCATCTCAGACATGCACACTTTACAATATCTGATAACGGAACATCCCACACTGCACCGACATTATCAGGGTGAGTCTGTAAGCAGCTTGAGAGGTTCAGATTGGATCTGTAAACGACTCACATACCAAATAACCTGGACCAGCATTGATTCAGACATGGATTCCAGACCAGATTGAAACTAGTGTAAAATGACCTGAAATTCCAGCAGTGTGAGCACAGCCTTAGTTAAGGTAAACTTGCCTTTCACTGTCTCTCATACTCACCTTCAGCGGCCGAAGACTCTCCCTCTATTTGTGAGTGCTGCTGCAGGGTGGCATCACAGCGGCAACCTGGATCAGGACCAGCATTAGGCTGCACAGGACTTGCATTGGATTCAGGCTGACCCAAGGTGGCAAGACTGGAACTAACCTCCAGGAGCATTGGGCTGCCAGGACCAACATCAGAACTAGCCTCACACCTCACAGGACGAGCTAAACCACACCTAGGACTCAGTTCCTGCTGGATAGGACTTGCAAGACCATGACAAGGACTAGATTCCAGCTGCACACGACCAGTATGAGGACAAGGTTCTGGCTGCACAGGGCTAACAGGACCAGGACTCGGACAAGGTTC